TTAAGCAGCATATTTTAACTGTTCATATTTTTGCCCATTGTTAAACCTTTACCTCTTGATTTATAGGAAATGTATATTTAAAAAAGTAACGCTTTGCAAACATTTCTTACTGGTTTTGTTCAAGCTTTTCCATACAGAATTTTTTAAAATCTAGATACATCATCCATTCTTTTTAATCTTTATTTTGTTTTTTCACTTAGAAAGCAAAGCCACTACACAATTTTTTAAAAATATAGATACATTGTTGTCTTCTTGTACATTTTAAATTTGTGTCTCAGGGTATATTTCTGTACTCTTATTTGTTCCATTCATAGAGTAATCGATTCAGATGCCAGTACTGTTTTATTCTTTTTGTAATGTTTTAACATCAAGTAGGGTTAGTTTTCCTCTATGACACTTATGTTATATTATTCATAATGATTCATATTATGGTTTTAATAATAACAATGTTAGAATCAACTTGCCTACTTCCAAAAATAACAAGGTTATTTTTTAAAGATTTTAATAAATTTAGTTTTCTTTACAATTATCTTTATGTTGAAATTTATTAGACATTGTATGACAACCATCTAAGATCTCTTTTGTGTCTTTTAGTATCTTCTTCATAGGTAACTGATGTTCCTATAATTATTCCTAACTTTATTTTCCTTCCATTGTATCCTCAAACTGATTACTTGCTACTTCAATGAATTTTCAGTTGACTCACATAGTACTTATGTCAATTTACCATCTACAACTAATTTTTACCTCTTTCCCCATTTATACATTTATTTTCTTCTACCTAATTGCCTTTGATAGTACCTTAGTATCTTTGAATAAAGTTTTCTCTTTTGATGAGAATACTTCTAGGGTTTCCCTTTTAAGCATCACAAAGGCTTCCAGAGTAAGATGTATTTTATCAGGTTTGGAATTTTGATTCTCAGCAATTTTAATAAATGTCCTTTTAGCATGTAGGGACATCATGTAACTTTTACTGAGATCAATTAATTGGAAATATTTTTGATGTATTCTTCAAATAATCTAGGCATGACTTCTATGTTGTATTATTATATAATGATTTGTTTATAATGTGTATCTACTAAAGCCTTTTTTTTATTTTAAAATTTAGGTTCTTTTTTTTTATTGAGGTATAGTTGATCTACAGTGTTGTTCTACTAAAGTCTTTGTTTCTAATTTAGCAGATATACACCATATATGCAAACAAAAGAGAATCCAACATCAATCCCATCCTCTAAAAATGTAAATCCTTGAGGAATTTTTAAATGTCTTGAGATTCCTATTCTGACCCTCTCATTGAGGCCATAGTTTAGTAGCACACACACTGACATATAACAGACTATTTAGGTAGCGAAATAGAAATGGCCCCTAAGGAAAGAGGAAAATTGTATATATGATGAATAGCCAGAGTTTAGGATCTGGGATCCCAAGTTCCTCTGAGCATCCCCAAGACTAGGGGTGGGGATGTGTGACCCATTAAGGCCTTCCAGAGGGACATTTAAAAAAACCTGAGACTCATGGGTGTTATGAAAAGAAATACATGGAAACTCCTTTTAAAGCAAGGCTAAAGGCAATTTAAAAAAAAGGCTAAAGGCTATGTCTGTATATGTTCTACATATGTTAAGAGCAAAAGGAAGCCTCCTCAAGCTACAGTAATAGTGGCCAAGATACTGATGGCCTGAAACAAAGTATGTGGCATTTGTTAAATGTGTTAAGAGACTGGAAGTAAGAAGACAGGCATTTCAGTAGTCCCTGGAAGATGTTAGAGTGAATGAGGTTGATGACTGAAGCTACTGATGAAAATTAGTTGGAAAGGAACTATACATGAAAGCCTCAAACCAATCACTAGCTTTGAAGTCAGATTCAGTGACCACCTCAGTAGGTCCTGCACCAACTGGGTGACCTTGGGCAAATAACGGCAGGTACCCTGTAGGACTGTTGAGAGGATTAAGAAATGTGTAGTATGAATTTAGCAGTTCCGGTACACAGTCAACATGTAGTAAATGTCAATATTCTATGGTGCCACATGTCCTGGAGTGTTTTTACATAAATATCCTAAAATGACAAAACCATAGATTCAAAGATTATTTTTATAGAGCTCCAGTGTAAATATGTTAAAATTTGAATCTGGTTATAAGTTTTATCCTGGCACCTACTTGTCAGTAGGCGAATGCTAGCAAGAAAGGTTCTGCAAGTTAGAATTTAAAAATATGTTTCACAGATTTTCTTAACCATAAAAACGTTTACAGATTATCAAAAAGTTTAAAAGGCCACAGATCTGTTTTAATTAACAGATGTTTCAAATTTGAACAAATCCTCTGCAGTTCCATTATTTTCATATCATATTTTTTGAAGCTAACTTTACTTTCAAATAATTGCTCACTGTTATATCTTTACAGTCCACTAGCAAATGATTTGGAAACCTTTTTTTTTAATTAAACAAAACAAAATCAGCACTCTCATTGTCCTTACTGGGTTATTGTTAAAAATTAGGATATGCCTTTGGCCTTATCTATACTGGATACATTATGACATACTGATATTTACCAGTTGAGGCTCTTTAGTTAGCTGTCAGTAGAATAGAGGCTGCTTGCCTATGTAGGAGTGAGGTAAACCTTTAAAAAAACCAATGTGGCCAGAAAGGAATCTGAGCATAGTAAACAGAGGGCTAGACTGCATCTTATTTATCACTTATCTCCAATATCTAGCATGGAGTTCAGTTAATAAAAGCTGTAGGGGGGAGGGTATAGCTCAGTGGTAGAGTGCATGCCTAGCATGCAAGTGGTCCAGGGTTCAATCCTCAGTACTTCCATTAATAAATAAATAAACTGAATTACCTCTCCCCCTCAAAATAAATAAGTTAAAAACAACCAAAGTTAATAAAGGCTGTAAGCCCATAAAAAGGCTATGAGTTAAATGACCAGTCTTCTGACGAGACGAGTAAATTGCATAGGTTATTAACCCAGCCCTGGGGATATTACGTACACCAATAAGAGGGAGGTTAGGGATCTGAGAAACTATATATAAAGAGTCCCCTGGAGGAACAGATCATGATTGGGCCCTACTATACAAAGGCAAGAAATGGAAGCCCAGCTCAGAAAAGGGTAGAGTACCATGGAAGTAGGGTCAGCATAGGCTGACAAAGAACTTTCTTGGGGTGCCCAGCATATTGTAACCATTAGCTCCTGGATTTCTCCTCTAGAGAATTACAAGTGAGGAGAAGGAGAGTTAGTTCTACTGTCTGCCATTCTGGTGAAGCCTAGATTCTAACTCTGAGGCTCTGTGACTTGAGGACATCTACCCTGTCCTTCCACTCATTAGTACACTAGGGCCTGGTCTTGGCTCCTCCCTTCTACCAGTAGCTGATACAAAATTCCCATCTGTACTGTGAACTCAGGGTAAAAATCATCAGTCCTCTGGAGACTACAGCACCCACTATAAAAGACAACAGGTTCAACCACTATTCTGTATGAAACAGAATAAACAAAGACCATAGAATAAGACAGGTTGAATATTAAAAACATTATGTTTATAGAATATAGGTGACAATGAACTAAGGATCCTGGTTAGCATACATGTATTGTTCTATCAGCTGACAGGGCCTAGAAGCCAACACCACCTCAGTATTTAGAGCACATCTAGTGCCCAGATCTTGGTTCCCTAATACCATTCTCCAATAAAGGAACCAGGACTCCTTGGATAGATGGCTGGCTCTGGGACAGTAAAGATATAAGATGAACCTGGAGCATCATTTAGTGCCTTAAAGTGACAGGTGTTTAAAAACATCAACAACCCCACAATGATGGGGGCATATCAGAGGGATATAGGAACCAACTGAAAAAGCTCCCAGTGGCCAAAGATGGAACACTTTGAGCAAAATTAAGTATTATTGGATTATTTCCATAAGTATAAAATATTGAAGAGTCCATAGTGGTATAAATAAATATAATAAATGTGGGAAGAGACCAATTTCTTTCTATAGAATTCCAGTTAACTGATGTAGCCATTCTATCCTCAAGAACAGCACAACATCCTTCTTCTTAAGTGTGGACTGCACAGTGACTTCATTCCAAACAGCACTGTACTGGGTAGAGGAGGTAACTGTACAGAGGCAAAACCTGGCAAATAAGATCTCAGCCAGGTGATCAAGGATAACATCAACAGTAGTAAGTCATGTTGCTATTATGTACTCTTGATAAGTGATGAGAATGACATTTTACCTCTGTGGTCTTCCTTTCAAAATCCCTTAAGTCCAGCCTAATTATGGGAAAACTCAATCCTAATTGAAGGGCATTCTACAAAATACATGACTCAAAGCTCATCAGAAACAAGATAAGTCTAAGAAGCTGGCACAGCCAAGAGGAGCCTAAGGAGACATAATGACGGATATCCTCAGTGGGATCTTGTAATAGATAAGGGTGAAAATTAAGGAAATCTGAATAAAGTATGGACTTTATTAATAATAATGTATTAATATTAGCACATTGTGACAAGTGTACTATACTAATATATGGCGTTAATATTAGGAGAAACTGGGTGCAGGGTACAGGGGAATTCTTTGTATTGTCTTCACAACATTTCTGTACATCTACAACTATTCTAAAATAAAATAAATTTCAAGGTTCACTTTATCACCCCTTTCCCAGGTAGAAGTTAACCTTAAAAAGCAGTATAGAATGTTCTTACACCCCAAAGGGCCTTTAATGGAGAACTGGGAGAGCCAAAATAACAGGGGCTCCTTTGAGCCAGGATTGAGGATCCTAAATTGAAAAACATACAACCTAGCAAGTTGATTCATTAGAAGTGTTCCTAAATAGCAGTAGAGAAAGGTGTTGCTAAGCAGACATTTTAAGTATTACAGTTGATTTGTTAATTCAGTGAAATTGTTTACCAAAAGAATACTGACCAGGTCCATTAACTGGAGCTGTTCATAAAGCCCTAATTAAGCAACAAGATTCACAGGCATCATTGTCACTCTTTCAGGTTCTTAATTTGTTTCTTACCAGGTTGTTTTCTCTTTTGTGTGAGTTCCTAGACACTGAGCCACTTTTTTGTGTCCTTTTGGGGCCTGCAGAATTTATCTCTGGAATTTTGTTTTCCTGATTAAAATCTGAGACATGATCCAAAATTTCAGTGCAAAAGTTCCACAACAGTATAGTTTCTTTCATCCCTGAAAGGGAAATAAATTATTGACAGGAACCATGGATAGCACTTAATACTCAGGGCCCCCTAGTCATCATGCTTTAATTTTCCCTGTTAATATGGTACAGGACCTGAAACTTGAACAGAGCAACAAAAAGGGGCACTTTTGTTTACTAACTGCTATCTATGGCAGGAGATGGCAGCTTGGAAATTTACAGACCAATAACCCTGCCAGTACAATTTCAGTTTTCATTGCAGCATGGGAAAAGGGTGATGAAGAAAAAGATTTTATCCAAAAAGCTACTTTGAAATGTGTTACTTCATCTTCTTAGACTCACCAGGAAATTAAAAAAATTAAATCAACAAGGAGTAGTAGGTGACTAATTAACTTCACTTATCAAGTAGGAAATCCCATTAAATTATTTTAATGTGCATGATTAAGCCACTGAAACCTCTTGGGGTATTGAACACATGCAAACACCAAATGAATTTTCCCTTTTCAAGTAAGTGGCAACATAGGGGCCCCTCCCTGCACCTGGGTAGCTTTACCATGCTCAGGAAAGCAATCTGTACGCTCAGAGGAACTTGAGATACCAGATTTTTAACTCTGGCTGTTCATCATGTATAAAATTTTCCTCTTTCCTGAGAGGCCATTTCTATTTCACTACTTAGGTTGTGAGGTTGTGATTAGGCTCTGCTGAAAACTGAAGACTGCTGTTCTTTCTTAGGACCTCTTCCTTAGATGTATGTTAAAAGATGAGAGAACTATTGTGATATAAATAACCCATTCTTTTGTTCGTTGCCAGTTTCAGCACACACACACACACAACAGGGAGAGGGAAATAGCTCAGTGGTAGGTCCTGGATTCAATCCTCAGTACCTCCATTTAAAAAAAAAAAAAAAAAGCCAAGGAAAAAGGATCACAAAAATTCCAAACACAAGAAATAAGGACTATCCTACTACTAATTTACTAATCTCACCTCAGTCCTCTAAAAGGTGAAGAGTTTAACACTATATGGTAAAGGCTTGCTATAAGGCAAAGGTATTGATAATATGTAATTTTTTAGGAACACATGTTGGTACTGGCCCTCAGTGTATCACTAATGAGTTGTCCACACTCAAAGCCTGAATTTCATTCCCTAGAATAGGGGTAATTCTTGCCTACCATCTGGTTTTGAAAGGCCCCCAAGCTTAGAAAGGTTGGGGAAAATTTTTTGTTGTGACCCTGAAAATTTTATGAAATTCTAATGTCAGTATCCATAGTTTTATTGGAACACATTAATTCTCATTTGGTGACATTTTAACTATGGCTGCTTGCACACCACAACTGCAGAGTTTAGTTGCAAAAGAGAGTATGATGCACAGGCCTAAATTAGTATCTGGCCTTTTACAGGAAGTTTGCCAACCCCTGCTCTAGAACAACAGTGTATAAAACTTTCTGCATTGGTGGGAATGTTCTCTGAGCTGGCCAATAGGTACTAGATACTGAGATGAAGATGTGTATTTTATTTCTCAGTTTAAAGACACATGTATTGCTCAGCAGAGCTCTATAAAATGAGGGCTTAGTTTAAGTCTTAGGCTTTAAGCATTCTTCTCTAAATTCTAGTACACCCCATAATTTTTTCGAATTTTAAGTTTTTCTACCTATAAAGAAAACCTCATTCTTCCTGTTTTTTCCCTTTATTCTCACACTACTACCATACTCTCCGTACTTCTGACAGATTTGGAGGTGGCGGGGGTGGTTTCCCACAAGGCAAATCTTGTCACCAGCTGGGTGTACTATAATCTAACTCAATTCTGACACCTAGAGATAATTTCAGATCCCACAGGATAAGGGCACCATCCTACAAGGCTGCCCCTTCTCCACTTAAGATGCCAATCACAAGTCCAGGTTGTTAACCTATGCTTCTAACAGATAGTCTTTAATTCAGAGATTCTCACAAACTCTGACTGTGAGATGACTAATTTTTGCTAGAGTGGCTCAAAGAGCTCAGGAAAACAGCTTACTGTTTACCAGTTTATTATAAAAGGATATGAAAAAGATACAGATGAACATCCAGATGGAAGAGATGTGTAGGACAAGTTACAAGGGAAGGGGTATCACTCTTCCAGAACCTCCACATCTTCACCAACCTGGAAGTTCTCTGAACTTCATACTATTGGAATTTTATGGAGGCTTCATCCTGTATGTGTGATCATTAACTCCATTTCTAACCCCTCTCCCCTCTCTGGAGAATGGGTATGTGTCTATGTGGTGGTGTGGGGGAGGCAGTGATGATGAAAATTTCAGCTTCTGGTCATTGCCTGGTCTTTCTGGGGACTAGACTGATTAAAACAAAAGACATTCCTAGAAATTTTTAAGAGTTTAAGAGCTCATCATCAGGAGCCAGATTCAAAGTCCAAATATTATAACTAAAGATGCTCCTGGTGTTCTGATCACTTAGGAAATACAAGGGTTTTAGGAGCTATGTGCCAGGAACCAGGGCATATATATATATACACACATACACATAAACGTATATATATAAAATGTATACATGTATATATATTTATAAAATGTATGTATGTATTTTTCTATTACTCCACACCATCTATCTGAGCTGAAGAGAGTTACTTAGGACCTACGTGGCAAACAGACTACATACATTACTTATCTTGGTGTCACAAAGGGCAGTCTAGACATCTGAGGTCCCAATGGATTGAAGATTTCTCACTCAGGTGAAGGCGTCTAGGATTCAAAGAGGAAAGGAATGACAGGCTATCCTTAAGACAGGGTGCTTTTCTAACAGAAAAAACTGTTTGCACCCAGACTAGGACCAACTCCATAGAAGGAGTTTCTCCACTCTCAGAGGTGCAAAATACTGCCCAAAGGTACTAAGCCACAACACCAAAACAGAGCCGAAGCCAGACCTTAACAAAGGCAGCATTTGCTCTTCCAACAGTGTAACACCATCCAAGGCATCACACTAGCCTGGATAGCTGACAACCGCTGGATGTTCCTGAAACAGTTTTCCTATTTGGTTTCAGATATCCAGCTACCCCACATAGAAGACATGGATATAGGTATCCCCATGAATTGAATGTTGACTACAGAACAGAGGCCTGGAAGCACTGATTGCAGACCCTGCTGTCAAATCCTTTAAACAAAACTGGAAACAGGAACTCCCTTCCCATGCCTTCAGTCATTTTATCCAACATTCAGGGAGTTCTAGCATGTGCTGGACACTGTGCTTGGGATGTAGCAGTGAACAAGGCAAGAGATACTATACTTTTTCTCATGGAATTTATAATCTCCTCATAATTTCCTCAGATGGAATGATGCAGATAATCCCAAATCCCACATGCCTTCAGACCATGATCACCAAAATACTACTCAGCCTTTCACTGCCCAGAGGCCAAATTTGTAAGGGGCAAATATAGTTGATTTTGCCTCCCATTTGTTTCCTGGTGAATTCCAACTAACAAATCTGGCACACAGTCAATGTTGGAATGAGTAGGGACAATTACCTGGTAGCTCCATGCACAACTGTCCACCTGTCACTAATCTCTCTTCAGGAGGGCCAAGGATGCCCTACTTTCAAGTCATCCTAAAAAGAAAAAGATTTCAGCATTCAACACTCTAGTTCCAAAGATTGCTTTTCTGTAGGGATGGAAACAGAATGCTGCCGGACATTTATGATTTACCATATTTTTTATATCCTCAGCCATTATTTTATTTTATTTTCCATTACTTACATATTTCTTGTCTGTTATCCCACAACCTAAATGTCCATCAACAGGTGACTGGATAAAGAAGATGTGGTATATTTATACAATGGAATACTACTCAGCCATAAAAACT